CTAAAGGTTTCTTAAAGAAGATTTTGTACGAATTTAAAACAGATGAAGCTAAAAGTTGTACACATTTATATACATAATATCTGAAGCCAAACATTGGGTTTCCTACACTCAGCACGGTCCCTGAACGCAGCGTTTAAGTGAAATGAAAGCGATCCCCCCGCCCGCCCAGCTGAGAAGTTACTGGAGCCAACCGGACCCGGCATCTCCCTCACAGCGGCTCCGCTCAGACCGAAGACAGCCTGGTGTCCATCAGCCGGCCGGCCGCTCAGAGGAATGTAGATGTTTGCTGGTAGAACTGGTTGAGACCGGAACTGACAGCTGTCAACCAAACTGCGCAGTTCTGGAGAAAAGCAGTGGTAAGATGTGCTAACATTAGCACAGCTAGCTTAGCAGCAGCTAGGGGGTTAGCTTTAAATAGAGCCCTTAAAACACCGAAAGAGTCTCAAGAAATACACACATACTTATGATAAACTGTCATTTCTGTGCCGTAGATTTAATCATTTGGAGTAAATAGAGAATTTGTTTTAGTTAACGTTAGCCACTGCTAAGTTGTCTTTAGCTATCCTTAGCTTCTCTTTAGTAGAGAGAGCTGCAGTCTCTCATGTGAGGTTTGTAGAGATGTTGCTTGAGCTTTTACCAAAGTTAGTTTGGGTTTTAGACTTTGGGTTGCTGTCCTATCTAGACAGATAGATCTAGTTTACAGACAGAAATATGTTATCAGTTTAGTCCAAAGTAATATTTAAGTAATGAGACAAGGTGGAGGATAAACCTGTTTCATCCACTGATCTCTATTTATTCACTGGAAATCCCAAAAGAAGTGAAGCCACCGGTCGCCATATTGGTACTCCCCACGCCTATGGAGACCCGTAGTAAAATGGCCATATTTGTAGCATTTGACTGCAAAAACAAACAGTTAGCTGGAGCGTAACATTAGTCTGACTGTCTCTGACTGACTGGAAGACATTGAGTCAGCCATAGACATTGAGTCTAACGTTAAAAAATAGAGTAAATAGAAAGTAATTCACTATGAAATGTAAATGTAATAATTCTTTATTAAGTGGATGACGCTCTAGTTCCTGTAGTGTTTGTTGTTTTTCTCATTTGAAAAAGTCATGAGCTGATTTATGTTGCATGTTATATTGAGGGAAAAACAACTCAACCCCTTTTTTATATATATATATATATATATATATATATATATATATTACATCATTAATTTAACAGTTTTGCACCATTAACATTAGTTATATTGTGATGGATTTGTATAATATGTTATATTACATGATTTATAGACTTCATTGACTTCATAATGACTTTGCAAAATGATGTGCCTATATATTAATTATAAGTTAAAGTAATATACTGATGCTGTGAAACAGCCAGAGTCAAAGTGATGAATTTAACCTTATTTTAAAAGTCTTAAGCCCCCCTGAAAATGGCAACATCATCGTTGTTCGATGCTGTAGCGCACATATCGTTTACATTAAAGGAATAGTACACCCAAAAC